GAGAGAGCGCCCTCATCAGAAAAGCCTAGTTTGCCCCCTTGCGGTTGAATCGTGCAGTGACGTTGTTGGCCTAATTATCAGACATTTCTGGAGCAGGTGTGACGGAGTCAGCATTTTTTATTCTTATTTGTGTAGTTTGTGCTTTTAAGAACATTATATATTTATGTTCTAATGTATGAAGGTTATTCTTGGTCGTACTTAACTTTTTTAGGTTTGCCAGAGTAACCTGTTGTTTCGCTAAATACAGATGTTTGCTAGCATCCAGCTGTCGCCATTCCTCGTCAGTGTTGTGACGTTTATTAATAATGTATTTATTACTTATCGTTTCCTTGTTTTTTCCCCTCCTTTTTTTTTTTTAGTTTAATCCAGAGTTTCTGCTTTCTTTAAATTGTTACATTATTCCAAAGTTATACTTCTATCCTAAAAAAGTGTAATGGGATTTTTACATTCAGGCTAATAGTAGCGGTAGAGTATATTGACATAAGACAGATTTATTCATGTTTTACAGATGACTGTAGATACTCTTGTGCCTTGTACTTCTCTCCTGACATCCTGCATATATAATGATGACAAATGAAACAAAAATAATATTTTCAGCTCTCCATACCACCTGTTGCCATTTCATTTCAGTCCGGTTTTTGTGTAATTTTGAATACCTCAGTCTTTTCTCCCCATTTCCCTTCCTAAAGAGTGGCTTCTTGACAGCCACTGATCCACTGAAAGCATCTCAGATGAGGCTTTGATCAACAGTAGACGGATCACCTGAACAGCCAGATGCCAAATCCTGTGTCAGGTCATTGCTAGATATCTTTTCCTAGTTCTTAAGAGCATGACTTTTCAGATGCTGTTCAACAAATTGTTTTGTGTTAGGCTGTCAGGAACACAATAACTAAATATTTAAAACTGGTTCTTTGCAAAGTTGTGTGTTATTTGTAGACAAAACATTGGTTCATCCCTTGAGTTTCTTTGGTGTTTGTTAAGTGACTTTACACAAAAAAACAAAAAAAGAAGCATTTTCTGAAAATGTACAAGTACAAGGAGTGGAAATTTGTGCAAAAGTAGCCAATATCCACTGAAAAACCTGAGAGCTTTAAAAAAAAAAATATAACAAAGTCTGGCTCCTTGGAAGTATAAAGAAATAAAGGTTGGCCCAATACAAGAAGTTAGTGTGTTAGAGTTGCTCCCTAAGACATACTTTTACAGCAGTTATGCAGATACACGCTGTAATTTGATGTTGTGACCAGATGAGGGCACCATGTCTTTAGAGCAGAGAGAGGAGGCAGCTGACTTATAGGAAAAAGTTCATACAAATTAAATACTGAGTGTAAATGTTAAATAAAATGAAAGACACGATTCCTCAGTTGATGCATATAAAGCATCATAAACCTGCTCCAATCTTCTACATGCTGCATATGATCATCTACTGCTTTAACAACTGCAGATGTTGGCAATCAAAAAGTACTTACTCATCTAAAATCTGTTTTGTAAGGAAGGGAAAGAAAGGGGACGTGTCCACACTGGGAGTAACGTGGTGACCAGAGACCATAGAAGGTGAAAGATATTTGGCAACTTCATGCAATTACATGTGAAATAACTGCTGGTGAGGCAAAGTGGACCTGCAATAAACTTTCAGGTTAGTGACTGAAGTCAATGAGAGTGAAGACGACCCGTGATTGACATATATAACCTGCTAGTAAATACATTATAAGGTGACGGGAGCCTGGAATGTCTGCAAGCGACCGGCTGGCAGCTTCAAAGCGATGCACGACGAGTGAATCGTTTCCAGTGTGTACGCAGCTCAGCACAACATGCTCTGGAATCAGTGCTGCCAGCACTACTGTACATTGGAAGACTCTCTGGATGAGTGGGACGGGGCTTTGGGAGATTTGTTAAGTGCTTTGTTGATGTGATTATAACGGCTCGAGAATCTCTTTAGAGACCTGGAAAATTTCTGGCAGCATGTGTTTACTACTGGCTGTCAAGAGTGTTTGTCATGGCTCTTTGAAAAAAAAGAAATCCATGACAGATGTCTTTAGGCCTCAGCTGGCTTCAGGTGGCGGTATGAATGGCGCTGAGTAGGTTCGTAGATGAACTGGGGGTTGTTTTAATGGCTCTCCTTAGTAGGGATCTACTGAGATGCTGACAGAGAAGAAGAGTTCATAACTGGCTCCATAAGTCGAGGTCTGTTGTTCGGCACAGACTCAACCACTTCGCCTTAAAACAAACATCATCTCTCTATTATAAATTACTGCTTAGGCTTTAGTTTCTCTTTGGTGTTGATCAAAGATTATTCAAACGATTATTAAACTTACCTAAAATAACCCCCAATCAATGTGTACAGTAACTGGTCACTGTCAAAACGAGCCGTTACAGGCATGATGCATGATACCGACCTACAAGGACTCTATAAAGACCTCTGCTGTTGTGCCATTACTGACAAATGACTTGAAGAGATTACAGTGGGACAAAATTAACACTTCTGTCGTGTTTGGGTCAAATCTGACTGATTTACAACTTAAAACACTCATAAATATTGTGCTTTACATCTGATTTCCTCAAAGCCCTATGACATCTTCCACACTATGCACTTGAATATATAAAAATGATGAGCACCTCTTTCATTGAATTTTGATTGTTTATATTGTAAGTAAAGACTCTATAGTATTAGAGAGAGGACTAAAACCATCAGGTGATTCCCGTTGAGCAGTAAAAGTAGGTCCAAATGTGTAGATCAAGCTCACCAAGGATGAAGTACACCATCAAACTTTGCATGTTGCCTCCTCCTGCTACTCCCACAAACGCTGTCTACTTCTGTGGGAAACACTATAATCCCATGCAGGGGTTAATGGTAGCCATCGAGAACAGTGACCTGCCATCTTCGATCAATAATCAATTAAATCAAATTAGGCAAATTAAAACATATTAATATAAAGGGAGCTGATTTTGTGTGTGCTACAGCCTGGCGTTGCTTTCAGGCGACACTTGTCCTGCAAATCGTCCCACAGTTCCACTTACCATTAAGCCGGCTCCCATTCCCCATTCTTGTGTCTGCCATGTATTCATGTACACAGCAGTCAGTGCTCTTCTTGCTGAACTTCAGCATGTAGCCATCTAGCTAGCACTACAAAATGCAAGTGAGCAAAAATGGAGCAACTACGTGAAACAACATTATTTGAAATCAAACATTTGAAACAGCTCAACATATATCAGCAAACAAATGACTTCTGTGCAAGTACAGTTTCATTATTTTAAAATAAGAAAAAAGCATGTTAACGTTTGTTAACTCAAATTTTCAGTGGTAGGGAGCGAGACGTACAATACTAAATTGGTTGGTGAGCCTTCAGAGCCGTTTAAGCTGCACTTTATGTATATCTCTCCTTTTATTATGATCTGAATTTGCGGGTGATCTCTGGGACTTATCTATAGCACTTGGGGTTATTTTAGATCCATTGCCTTGAAGCATTCCACTAAAGTCACACACTAAAGCAAGCCAGGACTTTACTTTTTTCCTGCGTCTTGATCTCAGTGAGACTTGCTGAATAAATACGACTAAAGTAAAACAACATCAAGAAGCAGCAGCAGGCTTTGAAAACGTACTTGGTGCCACATTTAGCTCATGCCGACTGTTTTGTTTTTATGGATGCTATTTTGTCTCTCCGTTGAGGACAAGAATGGAAATACTTTAAAACTTCATTATCCTGTCGGCTGTAGCTAAATAAGTAGGGGTGCTTTCCCCCCCCATCACACATTAAACCAGGTGCTCTGCCGTCTCCAAACTGAATTCAACTTTTGTCAAAACATCAGATGATATTCTGGAGGGGGAAAAAAAGTCAGCTTTTCTCGCAGTAAATGTCAGCTCCTAGCTTATCTGTATGTATCGAAGCGCTCTGGCTGTTCCCCAAGTAATGTAAATATATATGTAAATATCAGCATGTGCGACCCAGGGACAAGGACAGCCTTGTAACATGGGGGTGAGATGTCAATCAATACAGGGATGGGAAAACATGGCTGTGCATTCAATAAGCAGCATACTGCACAGAGATGAGATGTGCCGTGTCTCCGCATCTGTGTGTAAATATCAAAAGCGTCAGCAAAACACAAGCGCTCTGAGCTGCTTTAGTCGTATCAGATTGTCTCAGCGCGAGTGAAATGCGAGCCAAATAAAAAATTCAGGGCTTTATTCACTGCGGCCTCAACCATGTGAAGAAGAATAATAAATAAATTCACAGCAAATGTCTTACGAAGATTTAATGTACATTTATTCTTAACACGTGGAACATATAGTATAAAGATTTCATACTGAATAAATGATATTCATTAAGCCAAAAAAAAGGAAAAAAGAGGAATTTACATCAAGTTTTTAGCTACATCATCTGAAATACAAATATGCAGAATCCGCATCACTGAAAAATAAAATAAAATAAAAACAGTTTCTTCATCAAGGTCTAGTTTGTCGTTTATGAAGGAGCTCGAATGGAAACGATTTGTGTTAATATTCTCTACACCCAGACGAACAGAAAGTTGAAGTTGTGTTTACTGAGAGGAGGGGGTGGCGCTGGATCTGACAGCAGCTTAACGACCCCCGTCCCCACGCTCACACGGCATGATACGAGCGGGGTGAGGCGCTGAAGTAACGGAGAGGGCGGGCGTCAAGTAATCACATGGCGTTCTCGATGCAGGGAAACTCGTCAAAGATTAAAAACGGTGAAGAGCAACAGAAGTCGAGAAAGAGAAAGTGTAATGTACAACATCATATATACACTGCAGCTTGGACTGCATCTAGAGTTGAGGACCAGTCCTAAAGAGGTGACTTTTGAATATAAGGGTCAAGTCATACAATCAAGGGACAAAGAGAAGAGGTCGGGGTGTTGTAGGTTCACCGTACTTTGGGGGGAAAGCCGTTTTTCTCTCTCGACATTTAACTAAAACTGGTTTTAAAAACTACAGTTTGCTGCCAAGCCAGCGGATCTCAGTGTGAAACAGTATTATTACAGTATGTTTACAGTTTTTAAGGTGTACAGTACAGAAAAAAGTCCTACAATCTACTGCACAGGCCTCCCATGACAGACATCTGTTCACAGCCAATAATGTGGTTCCTGTGGGGCTGAGTATATAGCATCCAAAGTTACAGCAATTATACCACACCACAGTCCATGAGTCTATGTAGCCTCCAAACATGAACCATAATATTGTTTAGTCTGTGCCCTCTTTCCCCTGACGACCCACCTCCCCCGAGGGAGAAAGCGAACACGTGTATCCCCCAAACTCACTGTAAACGAGACAGCAACTTTGGTTACAGTTTTTTCTTTTTTTTTTTTCTCTTTCTGGAGATTTTTTTTTCAATAAAAAAAAACAAAAACAAAAAAAAGTCTTTTCTACAGGGCAGCAGCACACTCTGTCCTATGCCTGGGTCCCAGTCTGTTCTTCTTTGCCAGTTTCTTTCAGTTTCAGATGTTTGAAATCAACAGCTACTTCATGATATTCCTTCCTTATAGAGAGAAGCAGGGGTAAGAAAGACAGTGGAATCCGAGTTGATTTTGCATAAATTAAAAAAAAACAAAAACTAAAAAAAAAAAGTTTTGCTTTTGTCACTCACGCGCAACTAACAGACACACGCACGCACGCGCACACACAAAAAGGTGGTTTAGGGGGAATAGAAAGAGGCAGAGCTGAAACCTCTCCACGGCTGTCATGACTGGCCGATCAGAAACAGTACATCACAGATTACTTGGGACACCAGAGAGTTCATAAGTGGGGACATTGAGATGTCCAGTAGCCGCGACTCGTACAAAGTGAATTCAGAGTGGTTTTCTTCCACCTTAGCCAGGGCGTGCAAAGCCCGCGCTGCCCGCCGCATCATGTCCACACTAGTAGGCTCAAACTGGGGTCCACCCTGCATTTGTAGCAGGGAGCTCTGGCTCTGCTGGTACTGCGTAGCCGCTAGGCTGTCCTCCAGGAAGCCCAGTAGGTTGCCCACGCTGCCTTTCTGCACGGCGATCGCTCGCGCTGCAAGGCTGTCACCCTGGGCTAGGTTAGCTAGCAGGATCACCGCCATTTCACGGCAGACGGCCACCTTGCGCTCGCCGACGAGTCGCACGAGCGAGCCGTAGAGCTTCTCCAAGCGGCTGAATGGCGGAGTGGCCAGAATGAGGTCGACGTTGTTGTCCTGGATGCTGAGCTTGCTGAGGGTCTCGAGGACCAGTCTCTGGGGTGAAAGGGAGCCGTGGGGCCCCAGCGTGGGAAAGGGATCCAAGGCCTCTGCTGAAGGGCACACAGCCCAGTGGAGCAGGCCATCAAGGAGAGGCAGGCATATGCTCTCTGGGTAGATAGAAAGGTCCAGCTGGCCGGAGATGTTTGCCAGAGTGACCAGGCAGTTCTCCCTTAACACTTCAAGGCAGTCCCACCACCACTCGTCTCTCTCGCAGCTCACGCCTTCGTCTTCCTCGTCCTTCTCGTAGGTAACAGGCGCCTGTTTGCGTTCAGGGTGCCTGTGGTGGAGCAGCACCAGGCGGCCCAACAGCAACAGGAGGCCAGGGTGTTTGGACATCTCCAGGTCATTGCCAGGAACGAAGGAGAGGCTCCTCACAATGTTGGAGACGCAGATGCAGCGCCGAGCTAGCGAGTCCTGCCAGTCTGATAGAGTGCTAAGTGGCGTTTCATCCTTGCTGTGAGGTTCATCCTCCAGGATCTTGATGTTGCGGCGGCTCTGGAGATCGGGGTTGATGCTGAACAAATACTTGCCGTTCTCCTTCTGCTCCTCGGCACCTCCACGAACTACTTCCTCCGTGACCGACCCCGGGCGAGCGGATAGTACATCGTCAATGGTGGCAGTGACTGGTGCGCCAATGGGAAGAGGAGGCGTGGTAGTCTTTGTTGGAGACTTGTGGGGTTCAGAAAACTGGGGCTGCTGCTGCCGAACCTTATCGTCACCACTGGATTTAGGCTTCTCTGGGTTTTCTGCTGCTGCCGCTGTCCCATTCGCCTTGACCTTCTTGCGGTTGTCAGCGGCTGCTGTTGTTTGTTTTCGCTGCTTGAGAAGCTCCATCCGGCTCTCAAAGTGGGTCTGGATGTGCTCAGTAGTGTCACCACCACCCACGCTCCAGTGTATCAGGCCGCTGTCAAAGCTCTGCCGCTGCCCAAGCTTGGACAAGCGGTTTAGCCGGAAGGGATTCTTCTTCCGCACCACCTTGATGGGGAGTTTATCAAACTTGCTGGCCTGTTTGGGCTTTTCCGAGTGTATACTGGGGTCGTGGGAGAACCCTGAGGTAGAGGTATTGGCTTCCTTGATAGAAGACTCCCTTTCCTTCTCATCTTCCTCATCCTCTGAAGACTTATCTTTGTGGGAGTTCTCCTCTTCCTCCTCCTCCTCCTCCTTTACCTGGACCAGTGAAGAAGTGTCAGGGTTGGTCTTTGTTTCCTCTACCTCCTCATCCTCCTCGTCCTCCTCGTCCGAATTCATGTCCTCGCCCTCAGGCATGGGAATTTCATCATCAGAGTCCTCAGCTGCATTGGGGTCTATTAGGGTGCGCTGGCCAGGGTCTCCTACTTCATACTCCTTAAGGATGCCAAAGATCTCAATGAGACAGCGTCTGAAGTACTCCACTACCAGCTCCAGAAATCCAGGTAGCTGTGAAAGCAAAGAAGGTGGTCACTAACTTTGACAAGTCATTCTGAAATGTTGACAGAAACAAATGCTAACAGGTTGTGGATGTGTGCAACCTACCTGGCAAAGGTTAAAAGTAGTAATGCTATTGTCATCATACAGCAGAATGTTAATGGTGTCCAAGGCCCAGGTGCTCTCAGCTAATAAGCCAGACTTTAATGACATCATTACTCTCCAAGCCTCAGGAGTGCCTTTGAAAATAGAAACAGAATGAATATAACTAAAAGTAACCATGATCGGTCACTGCAGCTTTAAATAACATGTAAAGGTTTACTAATCTTGGGACTTTAACTCCATACTACATACTTGTGTCACCTAGTGTGAATACGCAATTCGTATCTGAAAGCTGTCTTAACGCAAACTGAGAAATATCAAATGGTAAATCCAGGTCAGGTAGACATAAGCATATTGTTTATTACATGTGTAATGTTACAAGTTATCAGGCAAATCAAATTTTATACCAATGTCTTTCATGGTGAGCCGCCTGCGGGGTTTCAGGTGGGGCTGGGTAGCTTCCACAGAGCCAGGAGGGAAGGCCACATCTCGCCGGATCATGGGTTGCTGCACGGGAGCCTGGCCAATGTGGGACGCGGGAACTGGAGGTCCAGCTTTCTGCACCTTAATTCCAGGATGCATATAGGGGGATTTGCTGGGCGACGTTCTGCTTTCCATGGATCGGGGCATGGATGCTGGGCTCGACACCTGAGGAATGTGGTTTTGGGAAGCCGAGTAGGTGGAGGGCAGGGATCTGGTCATGGGTGGTCCAGAGCCTGTGGGGACAAACGGAGGCTGTCGCTGGTTGGCGTGGCCAGGCCACTGTCCCTCGTGGTTCATGCGTTGATCTGATGGCATCATATCTTCTGAGCGGTTCATGCCGTGGAAGCCGGGACCCTGGCCCGACACAGGGGGTCCCTGTCGGTTGGGATAGTTGGGGTAGCCCATCTCATTGCGGCCCTGCCACATTGGGCCCTGGGAACCATCGGGGCCTGAAGGCATGGGACTTGCCATCATCTGGGGAGGCATCGGAGACTGGGAATTGGGGCCTGCAGATGACGGCCCTCGATCCCGTCCGAAGGGGAAGGGGAACTGGTTCTGTGGGCCTGGCGGTCGGCGCTCCCCTCCAGGGTATGCATTATACTGATTATACATGTCCTGCTGGCTCTGTGGCCCCGAGGACTGGGGTCCTGGCTGTTGCTGCCCACTGTAAGGAACGTTGTACATTTCTCCCTCATGGCGCTTGGCAGGAGGACAATACCCACCATCCACAGGACGTTTGTAGTTCTGTCAGCACATAAAATTAAGCATTACAATCTTCAACTGAGCACAATAATTTTAGCAACAGCTCATACTTCTGTTCAGCTGGAACAGAACATAGTACATTACATGAACACTGAAAAGAGAAACCCAAGTAATAATAGGAGTACTGCAAATGCTGGACAAACTGTTCTTACTGGCTGCTGCTGTGGATACATTCCTGGCTGCTGATTTGGGTAAGGCCCACCAGGGGGAGCTCCTTGGCCAGGGAACTGATTTGTATAGGACTCATGCCTAAAAATACACACTCAGATTACTATATTTCTTCATTTCAGTAAACGATTCAGTTACAATAAGAAACTCTGTAAATATCTTTAAATCTATCAATGATCTCACTGACAAAATGCTGACATGCAACCATGTCTCTCCTTTTAATCTTTATACAGAATAGTCTCTGCTCTGAATGGTACAGACCGTTGCTGTGGTGGAGGACGGCTAGGCGAGTACATCCCTGTGTCAGCTCCAGAAGGCATCATGTTGGGCTGAGGAGCTCCCGGTCCCATGTTGACATCAGGGCCCATGCCTGGCTCTTGTCTATAAAAGCAACGAGCAATAATCATGAAGTGATTTGATTTAGTTGGAAAGAGAAAAGGACACTGAGATGGCACAGGTCAGATCACAATCATCTTATCTTATTTACAACTATAGTATATTTACCTTCGTTCATATCCATACGGGTACTGTTGCCTCTGGCTCATTGGCATGTTGGCCATTGGGCCTGGTGGACCTCTGTTATACTGTTCCCCCATTCCACTGTTGGGGCCGGGTGGCATGAACTGTTCCCCTGCTAAAAATAAATAAACATAATATTAGTTATGGCTATGAACGAACCCTTACAGAATCTGGGGTTTGGTTGCGTGGACGGTGCTCACCTTTCCTCATGCCTCCAAAGGGGTCCTTGTTGGACTCGTAGGGACCCATCCGACCCATCATCTCCGGGGTGCCTATCCCAGGCTGATAGCCCTGAGAGTTGGGAGTCATGGCGTTCCTCCTGGGAAACGCTGGGTCTCCGCCATCGGCAAAGGGATCCTGTAGATTAACACTACTCCTGTAGGAAAACAGATGGCTTTTTAGCAAAATGTGGAATGTGAAAAATTTATAGTAATTAAGGCTTTTCTAAGTTTTCTTGTTAATTTATTTTTTTTGAATGTTTTCTGTCTGTCCCTCTAACAAGACACAGAAGACAGTTTTTACTGTAGTCTTCTAAGTGCATACTTTATAACTACAATCCTTTCATATTCCTGTTGACTAGTCTGGTGTTTGTGTGTACATGTGAACAGAACCCCATCAGTGATAACTTTAAAGCATATTTTGCTGGTTTTCGTATTCCAGTTCTTGCTTCTCTGATCCAATTTCACCACAGGTGGAGATTTTAGTGCGAACGCCACAGAAGCACGACACTGGTTTTTGAATCGTACCTTACGCCAGGCATTGGGGGCATTTGCGTGTGTGGGGTGGAGGCTGGTGTGGGGGGCTTCAGGTCTCCCCCCTCTGCCATTGAACTAGTGGTGGACTGAGGGGTTTGGGGTCCTTGCAGGGATCCAGAACCAGCTGCAAAACACAAGGATACGCACAATGACTAAGTGGGAGAAAAAACAAACAAAAGAAAAACAGTCAAGTGCTCTGGTTTGTAACACTCAGAGATTCCAGAGAATTCAAAGAACATCCCTCTCTCCTCCTCCTCCTCGCTCGAGGAATAAAGGCAAGAGCTGATAGTTGATAGTGAGGCGGGTTAGGCAGAACACTGCTGGGGGCTTTTAGAGCACATGCTGCTTTTGGCAATCCTAAATCCCATTAAGAAATTCCTGAGCGGTGCACAGAGGAACACAGTTTGTGTCGAGCTGACTGGCTTTTGAGGGCATAGCCAGCAAAAAATCTTGAATCTTCCTGCTCATCACAGGATGCCTGCCCCCTCCTCAACCACCGCTGGGCTCCAGGAACCACCAGGAAACAGTGATGTAAACCCTCACTGTGACAGATTACTGCCTGGGCTGTAGAGACAGGAGACAGCCAGCTATGTGTGAATGTGTGTGTGTGTGTGACTGATATTTTGTTTGTGTTGTGTGTGTGACATACTAGCAATCATCCTTAACTTCAGCTCAGGACTTCTCACTATTAGCAAGCCAGTCTGATGAGTCACAGGTTCCCATTCATTAAACTGGCACACACACACAAACACACACAACACCCGGGTCACTGGCAGGTCACAGTTATTCACATTTTCTCACATCACCCTCTTGCCTCTCGAGCTCTCACGCATGCACACAACATTCATTGGCTCACCCTCCCTCACCCCCTCCTCCCTCTGGGCAGGGATTTCCCTCTACTAAAGATGAAGGGAGGGAGGGCATGATAGAAATAGAGTCAGAGAGAGAATCGTGTGACTTTTACACACACACACACACACACACACACACACACACACACACACACAAAACCCTCTTCCCCCATTCATCATTTCTGGCTCAGCACTAATCTCCAGGGAGTGTTGCCGTGCTGCTGTAGCCCAGGGCCAGGCACCAGGCAGCGAGGACACGCCACTGACGGAGCATCGCTATCGCCAAATCACCTCCTGCCTTTCTCCTGCCATTACTTCCTCCACCACCCCCACCCCCAAAACCCTCCCCTGCCCTTCTTTCGTACTAACTAGAGGGCTGATGCCAGCTGACAAGCACCCTGATGTCTCCTGTAACAACACCCCGGCGCTGACTCAGTGCCCCGTGTCTGACAGCCTGGGTCTCAGCCAGACTGAAGCAGCATGTGGTTGCTCCCGGTGTGGTTGCTCCTGGCAGCTATAAACAAGGAGTCCCCTCCAAAATAAACAGCATCTCATGCAACAAGCAATGACCCTTCCTGGCTGCAACCTCCTCACCCTTAACAACTGGTATGAATGAGCGCCAGTTCATCCGCTGACTTTTACCCAGTTCATTGAAACATTTAGCATTCTGCTGTCATCACCGTTGCCACAAAAATCAAAGTGGGGAAGTCGGAAAGGACAAGTCTTTCGTCATGTCCTGTGCAAATGCCAAGGACTATTCCCCCAAGGCATGTGTTTGTGGAACCGTCCAAAGGACTTACAGCTACGCCGCCGTCATTTATAACTCCTCCAATATAGGGGAGCAGCGATTTATGGAGGGTGGCTGCTCCTACATGAGATGACAAACAATGCTCTATGAATGGCTTTAAAAACGGCAATTAATGGGATATAATAAAATAGACTAGTTTATAGACAGCTGATGTGAGGCAAATAGAGCAGAGATGATGTGATGAATTGTACTTAATCCAAACTGCGCCCAAGGGAGAAAGGGAAATCTGAAATAAGCTTCATTCATTGCATTTTAAATCTAAGGAGGCAGTAAACTGTGTGACAGTGAAGCGGAGCAGCAGCGCTCACCTGGGCTGGGAGGCTGGATTTTGGGCTGGTTCTTTTTGGTGTCCGTGTTGAAGAAGTCTGGGGGAGGGTCCTCGCCGCGCTCCATTTTGCACTCAAAGGCGTACAAACACTGGATGTACTGTTTTTTGAGCGAGCTGGCTGCGCTGCTCGACGTGCCCACGTTCAGGTTGGTAGCCAGCTCCCTCCACTTCTTGTTCTTGTTCACCTGGTGGGCGAGAGAGGAAGGAGGTGGTTCAGAAAGCTGTATACGAAATTTTTTATTTATTTTTTTAAATCACCGACGATCGTCCTTCTGATCTGAAGGATTCACATCAAATTCAGGTGGAAGTCCAGGTGTACCTGGGTGAGGCCGCCGATCTCTTTGACGGATATGTAGAGCCTGAAGAGATCGAGGGGCTTACGGCCCACAGCGGGCAGATTGTTCATGCCCATGGCTTTCTCCTCAGCAAAGGCCAAGTATCGGTCCACCCAAATTTTCCTCTCTGGCTCCGGGCCAAGCTCGTACAGACGGGTTATTTTCTCATTGGTGATGGTGGAAGAGCTCGACTTCTGTTGGACGGGTGACGGAAGAAAATCGTAAGAAAGAGAAAAAAGGAGGGCGGGGGGAAAAAAGCTGGACTTTGAATGTGTACCTTCTTGGATTCTGGCTTGGGAGTCCCGTCCACTTTGTTGTTCATCTTCGGAGCAGGATTCATTTTGTCCATGCCAAACTCTGAACTTGGAGCCATTCCTGGGAGAACGGGGCAATGACAGAAGGGTATAAAAATAAAACGATTACCAGTCTATAAAACTGTTTTATAGACACAACCCTCAGGCCTGCAGCTGTACTCCAATCACCTGATCAGGGCTATAGTTTCACTTGTACTCACCAGGGCTATTGTTGGCTATGTTTGCTCCTGCCATTGGATACGGCCCTGGCCCACCTTGGTTTATCATACTGTGCATGCTGTTCATGCCTGGGCCATACGGAGAGCCTGCTCCCATCATGCCCTGGGACATGTTAGGATAGCTGGGTGGCCTACAGAAAAGAATGCTTGATTAGAAGAAATGCAAAAAAACAATAACCACAAAGAAACAATGGATGTGCACTAGTCAACAGGATGATTAAAAGTTGCCACCCCTGTAGCAGAAACTAGAAATACTGGTCAGTTAAACGAATTATTTCTATTTTTCTAATGTCAAACCGAGTTAACATGTTGTTTCCAAGATGGCAAGCAGCAACCTGCCACTACCAGGGCACACAGTCCCACTCTTTGTGACAAGAAGTTGTAAACAAGCAAGCTGGGGAGGTAAGGTAGACGAAATCCCTGTGAGTCAGTGCAGTTCTGCAGAGTTTTATTCCAGATAATGAATGGTATCTCGAGGCTGTGTCAGAGTGAAATTAGTGCTGTTTCTACAATGGTCACTTGAACCTGGCTCCAAAAGAAAGTCAGTCTCCACAGACTCAGATGCTTCAAAAAGCGTGTTCACAGCCTGATACAAAAAATGTGGCTTTGGCTTCTATAAATATTTTCCTGTAGCACAAGTCCACAGTGACTGACTGTTGTTTTTAACTTAAACATTCAGAGACTTTTATGGCCGCTATGACTGACAGATGCGCTGACGCAGGCGGCTGTAGGTGAGCTACGTCTCAGCTCTGCTAATTCGAGTCTCTGAACTGGACTTCCTCACGGTGTTTGTGCTGTTGCTCCCTTTTGGATAAATTTTAATGGAATTTTCTGACAAATAATATGGTTTGCTGTCAACTTAATCGTACTACCCAGCCCATCCAATATGTCTGTGCAGCAGTTTTTGGTGAATGCAATTCTAGCATTCTAGCATTTGAGCAAAGAGTACAAAAATAAGAAGAAAAAAACATTTCATAGATGCAACCTTAGGGCCGTGTCCAAATATGGTCGTGTTTCCTTTTAAAAAACAAAACATAAGCATCAAAACGTTGAGTCCAGAAAGTATTCTTCTGATTATTGTGCTAATTCTAACTTTTTTCTCAGTGGTTCTACAGTAGTTGACTAATCTAATTATTTTCACCTATTTAATCAACTAATAATTAGTCACAAGTAATCCCTGAAAGGATCCACTGCAAATACAGACTTTTCGTGACTGAATTATGTCTTTTTCTTCACAGAGTTCAGTTTAATTTGTAGGAAACATTAATTTAAGTCACAGGGTACCATTTGCCAAGCCCACAAGAGCTTCTCTGCAGGCTCAACAGGCATCCCTGCTTAGGAAGGATGTGATTCAGTGATTGCAGAGACCATCTCCTCTTCTGTGATAGATAAGTGTTTGGGCTACTGCCACCACTCAAGCACTAAAACATGTAACAGACTGGATTGTGTGTGAGGCAAACCAAGGACACACACACACACACACACACACACACACACACACACAGAGCAAAGTGATGAGAAAATCTCTTTAAAGCTATAAATTCAATGACCCTCAACAGTCACAGGCTCACACAGACGTCACTGATGCAGCCAGGAGCACCCACCTGTTGTGTATAGAGTTTGTTGGTCCGTGGTGCATGGAAGGACCACCATCCTTCCTCGTCATGACCGGAGGGGGACACATGCCGGACCCCACCTGAGGAGGCATGCCGCCCATATTGGAGGCCATGGCAGGACCGTAAGGCCGAGTGCCCATCTGCCCAGGACCTATCCTGCCCGGTGGCATGCTTCCATACGGAGCCCCGCTGCCCTGACCGGGAATGGGGTTCATGGAGCCACCCATGCCGGGGCCACTGGGGTAATTGGCGTTGGGCATCCCTGTGTAGCCGGGCTGCCTGGGATAACCTGAAAGTGTTACAGATCAACATTTAGAGTTTCATGCCCTCCTGCTGTGTTTCAGCCTAAAACAGATCTCATCTAGTCACTTCTCACTGACGGGATAAAGAGTTTCACCAGTCCGGCTCTAAATTTACTTCAGCTTGTCAGAACAAGCAGCCTGATGAAGCGGGCTTTATCTGGCTCCCGCCTTGCTCTGCTATGACTCATAGCAGAACTTCTTCAAAGCCCACAGAAACCATCTGAGACTTCAAAGTGCACTGATATAATTTCATGAATGTAAGAAGTGAGAGGAAACTTCAAAGCCTCTTAGAAAAAAAAATCTGGGCTATCTATGAAACTGTGATGGTCACAGGACAACCACTGTAAACTCATTCATAATATTTTTAGTATTAAAAAAAGAAAAAAAAGTCTGCTTGATATGACAGAGCGGAGACACTGCACTCTTATTTTTCCTGCTGTACAGAAGGCCCTCAAAGCAACACCACCCAACACTCACAGCCTCATGTCTCACCTGGCGGGCCGTACTGGCCCCCCTGAGGGACGTAGTTTCCCATGGTATTGTTCTGAGGATAAGGGCCCATCCCACCATGCATCTGGACTCCTGAAGACTGGCGTGGAGATAAGGCCGAGCCAGGCTGTCCAGGGGACCCGTAAGGAGGCATCTGAGGATTGCGCATGTACACTGGAGAAAAGACAGGGAACATTAAGCAACACTCTTAGTTTTTACACACACATATCAAAGTTTGATTAATTCTGCAACCAATATTAAGTGGTAATAATTAGATGCCTATTGTATCTTATGTTAAACACTTAATGTTAAAAAAAACCAAGAAAATAAACAAAAAACAACAAAAACAAAACTCCACGCTACGTCTGCTTTAGCATACATTTGCACGACACATTATGGCTCAAGCTCTTCACTTCCTCACAAACACAACAGTACAGTGTGTCTGCCTGCTCTCATTTGACCTGGCAAGTAGAGCACATTCTTATTTAGAAGCACAGCCTGGGGGAGTGCTTGCAGATGGGAGGAATGCATACAAGTGCAAACAATCACACCTAAAAGCTGCTGAGAATGCGGCGCACACACTCCTGGCCACTGAGCACGCGAGGAGATACTCTTTAAAGGTTTCTGTTTGCAAACATTTCCAACACACTCACCTCTGTCCTGGCTCATGGATGAGTGCATGATGCTGTCTGACTGGACGCTGGGCGGCCGAGGAGGCATCTGATTACCTGCGGGACAGCGATGACATGGGTCTGAAATTACCGTGGGAACTGCGGAAATTTGTCTCCTTTATTTACAATCGATTCTTGCTCTTAAACTTTGAAATACTGGCCATAAAATGAGTGTGAGCCAGTCACATTCAAGCTAATAAACTGTGGCAAGTCTCTCCACAATGAGCAGAGGGTGGCACTGTAACCTCCGTCTCTCCGTCAGCGAATGGTTTACTAGGATCATGTTAGGAGAAACCTAAAGTTCCATATCTTGCAAATCGCTTCATAAATTACAAATGTGATCCGCGTCGAGTTTTGAATTAAAACTCTAAATCTGTCTGTTTTTTATTAAATATGTCAGGCAGGATTTCTGCTGGATACGATGAATAGCTGACTACAAAGACATTGAAATTATTGTTGTTGGTTAGCCGTATCGAGCAGGTCCATTTTTACATTTAGCAGTCTTTGGCAAGTGAAAATAAATAACTGCTCAGTTGTTTCAGGACATCATATTTATGGTGATTTTCCTGTAAATATTCTGCATTTGTACTTTATCCTGTTCTCTACTGACACCCACATAATGCTATGTATTAATCTTCTAGAACAAACTTGGTTTTAATTTTCACATTTTTCCTTGCCATAAAATCCCCCTACGTAGTCTTTCGCAGCTGAATTTCAGATTTCAAAGACCATTTCAAAACGACTGAACTTAAAGACCCGAAGATCTAAAACAACTGTATTAAAGCAGAGTAGAAACAGAATAATGTTTGAGCTGTGTGCTGCTGTAGGTCTGAAACAACAGTATTAACGGTATTGTGCGTTTACCTGGCACAGCAGCGGGGGACAGGGGGCCGGTGCGAGAAGGGGTGACGCTAGCTGGGGAACCCACAGGTGACGGCGAGGGTCCACGTATGCCCGGCAGGTGAGGCGAAGTGTGCGGGGAGAAGGGTGACTGGGCCGGGTTGCTCTGCTCGCCCTGGCTGCTGGACACGCCCGAGGTGCTGACACCCGGGCTCAAAGCGCCTTCTGTACCAGTGGGAAGGTCGTCGATGGAGCCGGATAAATCCTTGAAGGAGAAGAGCCACAGAACATGAGTCGACGATGACACTACATTCGTTCGTTTACACTGTAACAAGTGGCTTAACAAATTTATTTTTACAATTCACATCACCAACTTGTTACTGATAACAAGTCAACACATTTCGCTCTCGCTTTTCCATAAAGTATCAGTTCCTACAGCTTGTGGAAGCATTTGCATCATTTTGTGAAGCGATGATGACTCAGCTGCTGATGAGTTCTCCTTAACATGAAGAACCACCAAGCAGATAAGCAGCTCCAGAAAAGTGGCGAGGCCCACAGACGAGGAGAAAAAGGCCAATGCTACAGTTCTCAAGCTGTAATGACTAGCCGTTAGCTAAACGTGTCGCTATGAAGGGAGCAATTAGCAATATCAACTCGATATGTAGTGAAGTGCAGTCAGTAGGTACACCGGGATAGATATCATATCATTACAATTGCTGTAGTAAGGCATGCTAGTCTAATCAAAGATGAAATGTTCAGATATGGTTCTGGTAACAAATGAAGCAGAAATCCACCAGAGTTATGGAGTTATTCTCTTCTTTGTGATACAACCATGATCATGGCATCGGGGCTGCGGCAAAAAGACACACTGTCCAACAAGTTGCCTTTAAAAGTAACTGATGAGCATATGGGCTGCAAATACAGTACAAGCAAACTGTTCAGGTTTCATCAGACAAAACAAAACAAAAAATCTCTGCCACTCTTTGTGGAGGCTCAGCTTATGATGGGAAGAGAGAAATTAAGTGGAAGTACTTGATATCAAAGGTAAGGGTGAGAGTGTGTGCGCTGGGATGTAAATGAGGCTCTAAAAACGTATAAAACCTGGAAAAAGAAAGCGGCTGCATTCTGGGAATCCCATTTGGGAGAAATGAATAAGAAATGATGAATATATTCAGGCTTTTCTCCTCCTGACCTGCATGAGGAGGGTGAGGCTGTTTTATTTTCAGTATCATGTCAAAGTCAAGAGAAGTCAAATCAAGTGAGTGGAAATCCAAATGGGCAGTGATGCATTACAGCAATCTTTGCCCTCACCGGGGTGTGTATGTTACTCTCTCATAGAAGGCTGCCAGCCCTATTACAGTTCAATAATACATTTGGGTACAATGACTTCTTTTCCCACCTTTTTAAAAATACTCCACACATCACTCCCATAATGCCGATAATGATCCGTGCTGGCAAGGAGAACTGAGTTTGACTTGCAAAGAGAAAGTGGGGGGAAAAAAAAAACCATTTGAAGCGAGTCATCTCGGGAGGCAGTTGAAATAATTGGTGCTGGGCACGGGCTCTGGTGCCATGTGGTGTTGTTATTGAGCCTCGCTGGCTGCGACACAAAGACGGGCGGGCGGGCAGGAAGGTAGGACGGCAGCCGGCAATGATTATGTTTGTGGGAAGGTGAATGTTTACACACTGGCCACTCACGTGGAGACCATGTGCTCACTCAGAAATGCAAGCTCATCTGCCAGTCACATCGGAGGAAGGGAAAAAAATGGGAGGGAGTGAGGAGGAGGAGAAGGAGGGGGTGGGAGAGAAAAATAAAGCAGCACTCATTGGATTGTGGCCAACTATTCCCATAGAAATCTCACACTCGCAGGCTGGCTGCAGCCCCGAAGCCGGCGGTTTTGCACTTGAAACGGCGCCCGTTGCTATTTTTGGGATGTGACCTGATGGAGGAACCCCAGAGGGAGTGACAGGAGGACGACGCTGATTCAGAATCCACCCTTCCCTCCCCCTCCAATCCACCCTCACCCCGTTCCTTCGGTCCTCCCTCCCTCCGGCTCTTCCTCTCCTGCTCCGGTGACTGCACAAACCCAGGCCTCTCTGACCCACACTGGAAATACGGCACCAACAAAACCACGTGAAACGCAGCAGGAAGGGAGTATCGCACTCCAAAGTGTTTCCCTGGCTGACGCCCAATTAATGTTCCCAAATGCAAAAGTGGGTTAGAGGCACATCATTAGGTCTTCGTGCTTTGGATTCAAGAACAGGGAACCGAACAGCGTGACATTCTTTGCTCAAACAACCATAGCAGGAACCCTTTTTCCAGCAGCCAGCATCGTCAGCTGACCTACACCCACCCCCTCCTTCTCCTGTTCCCAACCAAGAGATCACAAGACTGGTCATCTGACAGACGGCTCCATCTGAAGGGCTCCGACTGGCCAGATGCCACGATGACCACCTCTGTAGTTGGTACTCACAGAGACTCAGAAGCTGCTGCTCAGAGTCAAATCTCAGCCACAAAACAAGTTCTAAACCACGGCTTCCTCAACACAGACCAAAGAGGAAAGGATTCAGTTAGTGGGTTCAGCTGAGGAGACACACCTCAGCAGGAGGATGCACACTCAAGACGAACAAACTGTCATTATGAGACAGAAAAAAGGATTTAACACATGATCGTGGATGTGGGGTACTTCTAGAGATCAATCGAGTATATCAGTCGTCATTCTTGGTAGTACCGCCGCACAGTGGCTTTTAAACCATATTAAGATTTGGGGATTGAGGTAAACTGTCTGATTATTATAGTTTGTGTAGTTTAGTTTGTGTGTAGTTTGTGTAGTGGAGCTTCTGCCTTTTTTATTAAGCCTATTTTCAGTTGACAGATTTACTTTTAATCAAAGGTTGGCAGTGATGCAACTCCAAACTAGTTACGCATGAAACACACGTTTATGTTGTCGTCTTGGAGCCTAGAGGTTGATGACCACCAGCTAAACACAGAGACAAGAATCATGCCATTAAAGCAACTATCACTTTAAACCAATCAAGATTAGATGGGTTAGGATGGCGGGTTAAAGGTGCGACCACCATATTATTACACAATACCAGGATTTCAACGATCTTTGGCTGTGTTTGGGTTCCAACGACCATTTCCAAACAGCATTGATTAAAGCTCAAGAGAATCATTTTAAATAACCACGTTTGCATTGTTCTGGTGCTAAAATTGAACTCTAACGGACTGTTAGCGGTCGTCATTCCTGCCACACTTTTAAAGTCCACCGTGTGGCGTGCATTGCTAATTGGTACACTGAAGTGTGCATTATGTGTCCAGCAAAAAGCTGGGATTGAGTTAGCTGGAATAAAGTTGTGAGAGCAGTCTTCCATTTTTATTTTCCTCCAGTTTACAGAATATCTGTAAGAAACAAAAAGAAGCTGGTTGGTGCTAACAGGTCCAGACTGGGACCAGAATAAATCAGCAGGACTTTAAAGTGACATAACATCTGAGAAAAACAGAAAAGTAAACAAAAAAACAAACAAATGTGTTTTTGTGACAACGCTGCATGGTACGGCATGAAAACCGCAAAAATTTAAATATCCCTTAATGGTCGATAACGCCGGCAAAAGCTCCGTTTGTGCAGCCTGTGTGCACTGCTACAGTGGCACGTATGCAGTGTACAGACTGAGCTCTTTAACATTCTGTAAATATCTGACAGCTCTGATTCCTCAGCTTGGATAGGCAGAAGAATTGTGTACACACACACACACACACACACACACACACACGCTCCTACCTACTCCCACTCTGCAGTCATTGATTTTTCCCAGCTCAATACTGCACAGCACCAGCCTGTTCTGCTGACTGCACAAGCCGGACAGCGAGGAGAGGATGGAGGGGGAGGGGTGGTGGATGCTGGTGATACTGATGCTGCTGAGGCTCTGCTATTCAACGCGCTCATTATTTAAGGCAAATGATGAAGAGGAGGAGAGAGGACATAGATCAGGCATGAGGAGGAGTTGAGAGGTGGCGTGGTTAAGTTGGAGTAGCGTGTGAGCACAGGTGGGGTGTGTGACTCTGTGTGTGTGGGGGGGGGGGGCAGCTTGAAGGAAGGTCACAGCAGCATTATCAATGGCAAATATGACAACTGACAATATGAAAACAGAGAAACGAGCCATTTCTCTATGTGCAGGGGGAGAAAGGGGAGGACCGGTGAGCCGTGTTGCAGAGAGAGCAGCAGAGAAGCTGCAGCTCTTTCTGTAGAAAGCCTCTCTGTGGCAGCCATTTTGTGCTTTTTCCCAGCACTGCCTAACATGGAACTTCAGAGCTGAGAAGTGCAGAACAGACTTCGGGAGCTTTCAAAGGCTGAAAAGCAGCGTTTCCAACGATGAATTTGTTTTAAATTCATTTTAAAAACGATACAAACTTTCCAGAATTTTATTCTTCTTCGTCTCCTTCTTCTAACGCACTTCTTGTTCACAAATGCTGAAAATCTTCGCTGCTCCCACAGTTCTTACATTCTCCACTTCTCTCTCGCCCGTGCTGTCTCTGAGTCATCTGCTCTGCTCTCTGCCGTCCTAATGTATTCCATTTGCAGATTACTTCACTGAATCAATCAAGCTCGACCAGAGCCATTAGTCTGCCAAGCCAGCCTTTTTTCTCCCTCTTTTTTTTTTCTTTGGTAGGTTATGAGAAGCAGAAAGTGGAAGAAGCAGCGTAGTGGCTCGGAGTTAATGACACGTATCTGGAACATGTAACCCTGGTCAGTGGTGTAACTAGATCTGGTGGTGGTGAGGAGGAAGAGGAGGCAGAAGAGAAGGGAGGGGGGTGCCAAAGTTCATCTTTGAGTTACACACTTTCCCTGACCCGCTTCATTCTGTCATCCTCAGACCTCAGAGTCTCACCCGCTGCCCGGGCTGCCAAGCTTCCTCGTTCTCAGGCCTCCAGATGCTGAACACAATATATACAGCAAGAACAAAACAAAACAAACCCAGCTCGCTCAGAGTCGACACATCCGCTGTGGCAAAGTGAAGAGAGTAAGAAGAAAGGGATGGAAGAGGAAGAGGGGGAAGCTGGCTGCATGTCAAGGGCTGCCATGGTTACTGTGATCCACGTGGTTGACACGTTAGAGCCGACACAGTCCCTCCCCCCTGTTGCTGCCATTCCTAGGTCTGTCTGTCTCTGTCGACGGCCTCCCTGCGTGCCTGGCAGGGTCACGGTGCAGTCAGCTACTACAAAAGAAGAAGCCCGTCATTGTTACAGGAAACGCAGACGCACCA